CCCCGCCGCCAGCCTTTTGGGACGTCAGCGGTGGGTGCAGGCGGGTGGGCGTGGATGTGCAGCCTCCTCCCGTTTCTCTCAGAGGCTCAGGGAGGAGAGGACCTTGGTCTGCGAGGACGACATCGGGTCATCTGAGGAAGCACATCTGCTCAGCTGACACACATTCCAGGAGTCAAGGACCCCGAGGGAGGAGTGAGTGTACCCCCATGGCCAGGACAAAGAGGGGGCCCACAGAAATCTGGCCTGGCCCTACTGTCAGCCCTGGCACCCCTGGCAGGGCCTGTCTGGCTGAGCCCCTCCTCATTTCCAGGTCGGTGGTGTCGGGAATGGGGCAAGGGCCCTGGTCTGAGGGTCTGGACTCAGGTCAGCAGAGGCAGGATCCCAGGCCCTGGCCGGGGTCACGGTGAGGACTGAGGGGACCCCACACCCCAGGACGCATGCAGCCCAGGCCAGCCCTACCCTGCTGTCTGCTGTGGGGACACCCGGGATCGGTGGGTGGATTCAGTCCCCCTCACTTCCCCTTCCAGTGTCTTCGGGACATGGGGCCTTGGCCGAAGGAGGGTGGCCTCAGGTCAACAGAGGGAGTTGACCCAGGCCCTGCAGGGTGTCAGGGTGATGACAGCGGACCATCCAACCCAGGACAGATGGAACCCACAGAGTTTGGTCTCCCTTCTTGTCCCTTGGTGCTTCCTGTTAGCCCCTGGGCAGATGTGGCCAAATGTGGGCCCCCTCACTTCCTTCTGCTCAGTCTCAGGGGTGTGTGGTCTTGTTCTGAGAGGTTTGTCTCAGGGTAGCAGAGGGGTGGGGCTCAGGCCCAGCCAGGGGAAAGGTGAGGACCCTGAGTGAGCTCTGAGGGCACCGCCCACCCCAGAACAGTGGGGACCTCACAGAGTCCGGCCCAGCCCTCCTGTCAGCCCTGGGGGCCCAGGGCTGTGCTTGCAGTTTGCAACCTGAGGTGCCCCGTGTTTCCTCTTACAGGGGCTCCAGGAACCCGGAGGTGAAGGCCTTGGTGTGAGGCTCATGTCCTCAGGTCACAGAGCAGAGGAGGCCCAGGCAGTGCCAGGAGTTAGGGTGAGGTTCACACCCTGAATGTGCATCCAGGGGCTCCCCCACGCCAGAACCGAGGGGACACTGCAGAGCTGGAGCCCACCCCACCCCAGCCCACCACCAGCCCCAGAACCTCTGGCTGTGCTGGGTGCTCCCTGAGGGGCCAGGTCACTTGTTTCTTCAGGTCTTTAGGATCAGGTTTCCCAGAAGGACAGAGCCCTGTGAAGCCGAAAGCACCCCAAAAGAGGAGACTTGTAGGTCAGCTTTGTCAGAGCCACCAAGGATGCCTGTAAAAATTAAGATGCTCCTCACTGTGAGTACCAAAAATGTGACTCAATGTCAGCCACGTGAGTGAGTCCTCTTACGTGTTGAGCCTTCAGATCATTAAATTCCCAGCTCACATCTGCAACCACATGAGAAACCCCAAGAGAAAACTGCTCAACTAGGCCTTCCCCCAATTCCTGACTCACACATCTGTGAGCAGAATAACGTGATTGTTGTGAACCAGTATTTTTTGGTAATTGATTTCACAGCAGTAGTAACTTAACAGGAAGAAGTATTCAGATTACATAAAGAAGTCCCATGAAACATGAAACAGAAGAAACTTCCCAATTAAGAAATGGGGAAAAAACATTATTAAAATTCCAAACAAGAGAAATCAGAAATTGCCCCCTAAAAAAGGTATTAAGCCTTGTTTATAATCAGAGAAACTAAAAATAAAAGCACAATGAAATAATAATTGATATCCCTCTGAATTGGCAACATTTAAGGCCCGTAATATGAAACGTTGGTGATGATGTGGAGATTGGTAGAGGTATAAATTGATACAGTCGCGTGGGAAACAGTTTGGCAGTATCTCTTAAAAGTGAAGAGAGCGTTTGACCCAGCAATGCCACTGCTAGGCACATACCCAGTGAAACTCTCCAAGAATATTTAGAGCAGCATTGTTTGTGATAACTTAACATGAGAAACAACTTACATATCTGTTAATAGGAAAATTGATAAATAAATTTTGGTACACACACACACTCCCATAATGGGATACTACACAGAAGTGGAAATTGAGGAACCAGATTTGCATGTATCAAAATAGTGATTCTTGGGGCCGGCCCCATGACCGAGTGGGTAAGTTCGCGAGCTCCGCTTCAGCGGCCCAGGGTTTTGCCAGTTCGAATCCTGGACGCGGACATGGCACCGCTCATCAGACCATGCTGAGGTGGCGTCCCACATGCCACAACTAGAAGGACCCACAGCTGAAAATACACAACTATGTACCGGGGGGCTTTGGGAGAAAAAAGGAAAAATTAAAAATCTTAAAAAAAACAGTGATTCTCACAAACATAATGATTAGTTAATAAAATGGGTGAATACGGAGAATATGATACCCTTTATATAAAGTTTAAAGCATGAGAACACAATATTGCTAATTGCTTAAGGGTGAATTTATTTGCAGTGGAAGTATAAAGAAAGGCAGGTGTGTAGTGCTTCCCTCTGTGGGACAGAGAGTGGGGGCCAATGGGGAAGGAGTCCGCAAAGGTGTTAACTTTGTTGGCAGTATTTTATGTCTTAGGTACTATGTATAGAAGTATTGGTTGCACTTTTATTTATACCTTTTTGTATGTTAAATATTGCAGAATGTATTTTTTTAAGTATTTAATTACCAGAAGTTCTTGTAAAAAATTCCCAGGCCTGTCTCAGACCCAGCAGATCAGACTCTCCAGAGGTGGAGCTTAGGAATCCGCCCCCAGGGTGACCCTGACACTATTGGTCTAAGCCAGAGGAAGGCCACCGAACTCTTTATGAGTGACATTTATCCATTAGTTCCCTAATTTGGGTGCCTTTGTGCTAGCTACCATGCAAGGCGATCAGGACATAAAGGCAAATAAGACATTTTTACTGGCCTCAAAGCTCTTCTATTTGAGCAGAGGAGAAAATATTCTTCACTGTCCTTTGGGCACAGAGTGAAGGAACCCCTAAACCAGGGTAAAGGTTAACTCCAATTACAAAAGGGTTCAAAAGCTTTCAAACTGAACATATTAAAATCTATCACCTGGTGTCCCCAGATCCTTCTGTCCTGACATCCAGAGCATCCCCAGATCTGCTTCGCTGCGCCTGGCTGGAACCTCTACATGCCTCTTCCCAGAGAAATTCCAGATGCTCCCCTCTGCCTTGGCTGTACTGGGAATCTCCACCTGATGTCTCATAACTTTGCCATTTACTCATTGTGCAACTTTGGGCTGGTTGTATTCCTTCTCTGAACCTCACTTTCTGCCTCTGTAAGTTGAGCAGACGGTTGAGTCCTCAGAGTGGCAAAACTGGGACCAGGATGTGGTCCTCCTGATCACCATGCTGTTTCATTGTCTTTCTAGGATCACAAAGAGCTGATTTGGAAATTGGCAACCAAGTATTTTTATACAACAGATGGATTCTGAGTAACCTCTTAGATGTTTTTAAGGAAAAAGACACACATAGTAGACTTTCAAAGCACTCCTGACAAGGTTCTAGTCCATATGCCATGGAAAGTGAATCACCACTTTTGGAGGAAGATAATTTTAGACAATTTTGCCATTTTCCCACATGATTGAGCAGGAGGAAACCTACAAATCTGAAGTTGAGCCAATCTCCTCTACAGTAAATGTAAGGAGGATTTTTCCTCCTCACAGGAATTGTGAGTGGACAGAAATAAGGGAAGTAAAGTGTATTGTGGATAAAGCAAGCAGGGGAGAAATGGTCCCAAGTCTATTCAAAGGGCTATGAGGATCAATTTAGGATCTGATTGCTGCTCTACCTGCAATACACTGCATGACCTTAACTGTGTTCCTTAACTTCTCTGAGCCTTATGAGTCAAATAAGGATAATGTTAATGCCTACCTCTGTGGTGAGGGGTAAATGAAATAACTCCTATGAAGCCATAGGATGATATTCCAGTTTGACCAGGGAAAAGCCCTTAGCGGTCATTGCTACTTGAGCAGGCAGGCAGGCAAGCAGGATGCACCATCACAACGTGGGGCCGGAACACACGTGGACAGTTCTATGTCACACTCAGTACAAGGTAGCTTCCCAGACCTGTCTTGGTGGGTGAGTCCTGCCTGGGCATCAACCACAAGCCCCTCCTCGTGTGGCTGGGGAGAATTCAGCTCACAGGAGGTGAGGGTCTAGTTGGCAGAGCAGGCAGGAGCACGCATGTCATTGGGCCTGAAGAGCAGTCATTCCCTCCTTCCGATGCTGCCTGGGACCCAACAACCGATACAGATACAGCACAAACCGCAGCCCACCTGCCACAGGAAAAGGCAAGCCCTAAGCATTGTACTCCAAATGGAGAAAGCAGTTTCTCAAGACACTGGACTTGCAGCCTGTAAAATGGGAAAGGCCTGGGCAAACCTGGACGCTGGATCACTCTCTTTGAGGTTGACCACTGGCAACTGGGGCAGCAAAGTGCCTTGATCCGTCGAGCACCCTCAGTGGCCAAAGCCGGTGGCCAAGGCCTGTCGCCCACCCCGCAAGATGAGGTATGGGTGGCACGTGCCGTGGTGTGTGTGAGCGCGCATGTGCACATGTGGCATATACTCCACGGAATCGCACCTGGATGAGGTGCTTCTCGCGGAGCCTTGGGACAGGACCAGTCCTGTGCGGAGAGAGCGATGGGAAGAGCAGGTGAAGAGGCTCCGGAGGGCACCCCCCCAACACACACACCCCTGCTCCACACCCCTGGTCGGAACGCAGCGCTGGCAGGCGCACCTCGGGCCTGTCCAGCTGCTCTGCGGTGGGCACCCCGGGGTGTAGACGCCTCCTCACTCTGGTGCCCCAAGGGCACGTTCCAGGAGGGGCGGAGAGCAAGGCTGGGTCCCGGATGGGGGCACTGACTCTCGGACCCCGGGGGTCCCCACCAGTGCCAGCGCTCCCTCGGGGGCGGGGGAAGGAGCAGGTTACGTCACCCGCGGTCCCTGGGCGCCCGCGGTGGCGGCGACTGCCTGGCCGCGTGACCCGCGCGCGCCAATGGACCTGCGGTCTCCGGGACGACGCGGAGGGTCCGCGCTCTGCTGCCACTGCGCCCCCGCCCCGAGTCCGCACTGCAGAGAGTAGGGGCGAGCAGGCGCCAGCGCGCTGGCCCACGTGCCACGCTGAGAGAGGGACCAGGAGAAGGAGCGAGAGCGGGCGGGGGCGGGAAAGAGGGGCGCCCGACCCCGCGGCAGCTCCGCGCCGCCCCGCCCCCCTCCTGCTCGGACCTCGACCAGAAAGGATCCCGACCCAGAAGTAGGTACCAGACTCGGGGAGAGTGCGCTTGGCCCCGGGAGACCCCGTCGCCCTCCGCCGGCCCCAGCAGGACTGCGGCAGCCCGCGGGGGTCGGGGTTGGCGTGGGGAGGGGGCCGCGGACCCTGTGAGCCCGCAGAGGGCAGGGCGGGTGTTGAGCCTGGGCCCCAGAGGCGCCGCTGGAGGAGGAGGGGTAGCTGGGGGCGGGGGTGGGGAGTCGGCATTGACCGGCATTAACTCTTGCTGGTTCCTGTTCACAGGCTGTGGAGACCTGGGCCGTCTGCTGTTGCCCTGGGAGTTGGGCCAGATTTATGTGAATCACACACTGATCATTCCCCAGTAAATTGGACTTTGCAGAGATTGGGGACATGCCGTTGACCCTGTTGCAGGACTGGTGTAGGGGGGAACATCTGAACACCCAGAGGTCCATGCTCATCCTGGGTATTCCTGAGGACTGTGGTGAGGATGAGTTTGAGGAGACTCTTCAGGAGGCTCTTAGGCACCTGGGCAGGTATAGGGTCATTGGCAGGATGTTTAGGAGGGAGGAGAATGCCCATGCGTTTCTCTTGGAGCTTGCCCAAGACATTGACTATGCTTTGATCCCCCGGGAAATACCAGGAAAGGGAGGGCCATGGGAAGTGGTTGTAAAACCTCGTAACTCAGATGGCGAATTTCTCAATAGACTGAAGTGCTTCTTAGAGGAGGAGAGGAGGACAGTGTCAGACATGAACAGAGTCCTCAGATCAGACGCCAATTGTCCTGCTCCGAGAGTGGCCATATCACCTGATCTCTGGACCTGGGCCCAGGCCCTGGGGGCAGCAGTGCAGCCTCTGCTAGAACAAATGTTGTACAGAGAACTGAGAGTGTTTTCTGGGAACACCGTGTCCATCCCAGGGGCACTGACCTTTGAAGCCTGGCTTGAGCACACCACTGAGGTGCTAGAGATGTGGCAGGTGCCTGAGGGGGAAAAGAGGCGCAGGCTGATGGAATGCTTGAGGGGCCCTGCTCTGCAGGTGGTCCGTGGGCTGCGGGCTAACAATGCTGCCATAACTGTGGAGGAGTGCCTGGCAGCCCTGAAGCAGGTGTTTGGACCTGTGGAGAGCCGTAAAATCGCCCACATGAAATTTTGTAAGGCCCATCAGGAGGCAGGAGAGAAAGTCTCTAGCTTTGTGTTGCGTTTGGAACCCCTGCTCCAAAGAGCTGTAGAAAAAAATGCGGTATCACGAAGGAATGTGAATCAAGCTCGCCTGAAACAAGTCTTAAGTGGGGCCACCCTTACTGACAAGCTTCGAGACAGGCTTAAGCTGATGAAACAGCGAAGGAAGCCTCCTGGTTTCCTGGCACTGGTGAAGCTCCTGCGTGAGGAGGAGGAGTGGGAGGCCACTTTAGGCCCTGAGAGGGAGAGGCTGGAGGGGTTGGAAGCAGGCATAAGGCCGTCTTCCAGAACCAGTGCATTCGGGGCAGTGTCTTTCCCTGCCCCTGGCAACACTCTTCAGGCCAGGCCTTCCCAAGGGTCCCAGCGCGGGAGGTGTGGAGGCCAACAGTGGAGGGAGGCTGTGCCAAGGGCCAGCTCTCGAGGTTCAGGAAAACAGAAACACCACACATTCTGCTATAGCTGTGGAGAGGATGGTCACATCAGGGTACAATGTAGTAACCCTCCAAACCTGCTCTTGGTAAAGCAGAAGAGACAGGCGGCAATAGAGTCGGGAAACGGGAGCTGGGCTTGGGACAAGAGCCATCCCAAGCCCAAGGCCAAGTAGGCTCAGGAGAACAGGGAAGCTCTTCTTACTACAAGGTGAGGAGACAAAAGACGTATTGGAAGAAGGGGAAGACACAGTCCACACAAACAGCAGGGGACTTGAGTGGGGCAGAGGGGCAGGGCAGCCAGGCCCAGGTTGAGCACCCTCAACCTCTGCCCACTGGAAAAGACCCCAGCTACCAAGCCAAATGCAGCTCAGTGAGGTCCAAGCACAGGGTCTCAAAGAGGCGGCTGCGACAAAAGCAAGGATCCACTGTACCCAGCACATGTGGTGTCCAAGCCTCAGAAGGGAACCTCAACAAGGCAGAGGCTGAAGAAGGTAAAGGTGGGGGTTCTGGCATCGACATTGCCATCTGGCCACCCCCAAATGCCCACCCTGTTGGCTCTGAGCTAAGAACGCCAACTGGCTCCCAAGCCACGTGGGACCTGGAGGAGCCTTCCCTGGGGCCGCCCCTGACAGAAGGGACCAGCGTCAGTAAGGAAGAGCTGCGCAGAACAGAGGTAAAGCTCCGGAGGGGAGGCCGCAGGGTCCAGCCTGTGTTCAGGATCATGTACACTGCCCTAGGGAAGCCCCAGGAAGGCAGCACCCTTGAGCCCCTGAGCAAGTGAGGACAGGAGGGGGTGTTGGGTACCTGGGGGGCCTGTACCCACAGATGGCTTTGATGTGAGTGGGTGTGCAGAGAAACCTTTGGTACAAAGCAGGAAGAGGAGGAGGAAGATGATAAAGAGGAGGGAAAGCTGGAGGAAGAGCAAAAGGAGGAGGTAGAAGGGAAGGAGGAGGAAGAGGTGAAGGAGAAGGAAGAAGTAGAGAAGGAGGATGATGAAGAGGAGGAGGATGGAGGAGTTGTTGCAGGAGGGATGTTGTTTTGTTCTGCTTGTGTTTGCGCAGGGCCACTGGAGACCTGGAGAAAGCAGGCAAGGGGACCTGGGACTGGCCTGATGAACCACAACTCAGCAGCTGCCGTTGCCAAAGCCAGCCCCAAACCCTGCCAACTCATGCAGCCAGCCTGGCAGCTCCCATGAGTGGCAGCCCCAGGCTGGGTGAGGGGCTCCTTTGAAGACGTCTGCCACCTGCACAGGCCTGGGAGACGTTAGGGGTCATCTCAAGGGTGCCAGTCATCTGGGACTCCCAACAAGGGGATCCTCATTCACCGTCACTTGGGACGGGCTGCTCCCTGTTCTGGGAAGCCCACTTGTGTCTCTGTAGACCCTGTAGCAACTCACATGTCAAGTAATCCCGCCCCAACACACACACACACACACACACATACACTAGCCATCATTTCTGTGTAGAGCCACAAGGTGTGTGTGAACTGGCTTAGTGGGGCAGCCCCCTCTTCACCTGGGCATGTGCTGTGAGCTTCAGTGCCAGCCCAGGCTCTGCTCACTCTCGTCCAGTGCCGTGAGCTCAACTCTGTCTTCTTGGTGTTGATTTAGACTAATCGCTGCTTGTTTTTGTGAAGATGTGTGTGTTCTTACCTGAGCAGTTGCCACCAGCCCACCCAAGAGACCCTGTGCCCAGTCCCAGGAGATGTCACGAAGGAAGGCCAGACAAGGGTGCGGCCAGCGCTCACCCAGGAACCTCGGGAAGGAAGAACTGGAGCAGGGACATCGAGAGGGGCTGCGGGAGGCTCCACTGGGACTGTGCTCTGATGTGCCAACCTGTTGTTACTTGTGGCTCAGTTTCCTCAGCTTGGCGGGGTGTCCCTTGCTGTGTTTTCCAGCATCCTGTGACTGTCCTGTGTGGGCCATAGGGCAGGGCCCCACCCCAGCCTGTCAGCCAGAGAGGATGGGGGGATGCCCTGGAGTGAGAGGACAATGCCAGCATCCATCATCCAGGCAAGGGGCTGATCGTGGGACCTCCAGGAAGGGAGATTATGGCAGAGGAGCCTCAGCATGGGGAACAGCTGAGGCATCTCATTAGGGACCCTGGAGGAGGGAGGGACCCAAGACCTGTGGGCTGTAGTGGCCTTCAGAAGTTCCATTCTGTGTTGTCATTCTCTTCTCTTCAATAGTTTAAGTAAATGGCCCCCTTCAATAAATTTCATTGACCATTTCAGCTGCATGTCACCTCTGCTGTGGGCAATTGAGGGAAGGGTCTGCTGGGGGTGGGTGTGGGGCACTAGAAAAGCATTCCTGCTCAGCACACATGGGAGATTTCTCCAGTGAGAGAGTAGAGTTGGCACTTTGGCTGCAGACTAGGACATGGTGAGGGCTTTTCCTCCTTTTTATGGGTGAAGTACAAAGCTTTGGGGTTCCGATGGTCCCCAACTTGGGATGGTCTTGTCCCTTGGTCTTTTGAAAATGAGTGGGAGTGATCTTGGCTTTCTCCTTGAATGGGGGAAGGCAGCACTGGCATCCAGTGCCTGGGATTCAGGACTGCTAAATGTGCAAGATGCATGGAGTGGGGCCATGCAACAAAGAACTCTGACACCCCAGAGGCCTCTAGCATCCTTCATGAGAAAGCCAGTATTAGACGGAGAGTCTTGGAAAAAACCAGAAATGTGTTTTAACTTGAGGTATCCTGAAATGTGAAAACTTCGTCATGGAAAAACAATGACAACACTTACTGAGCAATGGAAAATCTCTAGACACTTGTGGGGTTTCAGGGAGAGTGGGCACAAACATATCCATACCACCTCCACCTGCAGACTTGCTCTATGGAAAACAAAAAGACCAGGCTAGTGAGATGCACAATGAAAGAGGACCCAGACTATCTGGGCAAAGGGAGGGGTGGGGATAATCTCTGAAGGGGTAGTGCTCAGGGATGGGGGGAGCTGGTTTTCATGCTAAGGGCAGGGGGAAGGTGTTGGACCTTTTAGGCGGGCCCAGTGCAGCCTGCTCATTCCTTCTGTCCAGCGAAGTTGCCACTTTATGAGGCTGAGCCTACCTCCCAGGAGAGGCCTGGAAAATACCAGGTCGGCCCTCTCCTGGCTTTCCTCACAGCTAGGGTGTGGGCACATGACCCTGCCCCGCCAATCAGATGCACCTGCTGCCAACTGAATCAGGGTCCAGAACTGGGAAGAAGCAGGAGCCACACAGACTCCAGTGAGATCTGCTTCCCAAGGAGCAGTGGCAGCTCTGGTTGTCATGGCGGCACCTGCATCCCACATTGTTGTTGCAAACCACAGTGTCTGTGCCCAGTCGTGGGAGGGAGCCACAGGGGTGCCTTCACCAGCCCAGCACTGTGGCATGATTCAGACCCTGTCCTTCTCTGCAAAGCCTCCAAGCCTGGTTCTCCAGCCCTCCCGGAACGCCCATGAGACGCCCGCCGTCCTTCAGCTCATTCCCTCTGTGCTTCCATCAGCCAGTCTGCTTCCGTTTTGTGCAGGTGAGAACCATGCTGGGCTAGGTTTCTGCAGAGGCTCTCTGATCTCCCACTGCATCAAGTGCTCCCTGCCCCAGGCTCCGGGATGCCGCGTGCTCTTGGAACGTGGCAGCTCTTTACTCAATCCTTTCTTGGCTCCTCTTACTCTATCCTTCCCTTAATATCGGTGTTTGTTAATAGTTATGAATATGCAGAGGCTTCATATCACTTGTGGGAAGATAGAGCAACAGAAATGATCCGTTCTGAGAAACTGTGAGGAAAAAAGGTTTTTCCAAAAAAAGAAAGAACAGAGCCTCAGTGAGCTGTAGAACAATATGAAAAGGTCCAACCCACATGTGTATCTGGGATCCCAGGAGAAAAGAGAGAACGGGGAGGAAAAACTACTTGAAGAAATAATGACGGACATTTTCAAAATTTGGGGCTAGACATACTTTACAGAGTCAAGAAGTCCTGTGAACCCCAAGGAGGATAAATACAAAGGAAAACCACATGTCTGTGCAGCGTAGCCGAACGACTGAACAGCGTAGAAAGAGAAAATCTCACAGGCAGTCAGAGTTAGACAAAGCAGTACATCTAGGAGAAATTAACAGGAATATTCCCTGAATTCTCATCGACCCCAGGGAACCCAGGAGGCAGGGGAAGGGCATTTCAAAGCGCCGAACGACAACAACAACGGGAAACAACTTTCAACCCAGAACTCACCGTCTCTGTGCAGGGAAAAGATCGTTCAAGAAGGAAGGCGAAATAAGGACCTTTGGAGAGACGTGAAAGCTAAGAGAATTCATCAACAGATCTACACGAAAAGAAATGCTACGGGAGGCCTTTCATTCTGAAGAAAGACGATAGGAGAGGAAGCCTTGATACGTGGGTAGAGATGGAGAACATGAGAAATGGTAAATAGGGGGGTAACTATGCAAGAACATCTATTTGCTTTTAATTTCCTTACGATACATGTGACTTTTAAATAAAAATTACACTAGCATATGGTAGGTTTTCTAATATCTGTAAGCGTACTACATGTGGCGACTGCAGCATAAAGGATGGGGTGGAGGGGGAACGAATCTGTATGGAGGAAAGCTTCTTACATTTATGTGAAGTGGTACAACATTAGCCACAAGTGGACAGTGAAAAGTTAAGGAAATAGATTATAATCTCTCGAGCAACCAGCAAAAGCATTTCAAAGCGATAATAGCCTCAAAAGGCAATAGTAAGTTAAAATGCAATAAAAATTTGTTGACTATCTCAGGCAGGAAAAGGGGAACATAGGAAGAGAGAGAGATGGGCAGACAGTGCTGTGCAGCGAATGTCTGTGTCCTCCCCCAGATTCACCTGTGTAATCGACCCCCTCCACGCCATGGTATTTGGAGGTGGAGCCTTTGGGAGGTGATTGGTTCATGGGGGTGGAGCCGCCATGAACGGGATCAGTGACCTTGTAAGAGAGACCCCGGAGAGCTCCCTCACCCGCTTCTGCCATAGCGAGGACATGGTGAGAGGATGTCTGTGTGTGAAGCAGGAGGCAGGCCCTCGCCGGACACGGCATCTGCCGGTACCTCGCTTCTGGACTTCTCAGCCTCCGGAACTGTGAGAAATGAACGTCTGCTGTTTATAAGCCACCCGGTCTCTGGTATTGTTTCCTCAGTATCTGCAGCAGACTCAGGCAGCCGGTAAAGGGCTGGACGTAAATCCAGCCATAGGAGAAACCACACTGGATGTTAACGGGTTAAACTGTGCGATTAAAAGGCAGAGACTGTCTGGATGAAGCCGAGAGCCAGGCTTTTGCTGCCCACAGGCGCTGCGATTGGACAGCAAAGCCTCAGGCGAGCGGATAGTCAGAGGATTCCGAGTGCTGTCCCACAGAAAGAGCAGCTAAGGAAGTCGGAGCGACCGTGCTGACAGTGGACCAAGCCGAGTTAAAGGCAGAGGCAGGTCCCTGGGATGGGAGGTCAGAACGATGGCAGGGTCAGCAGTGAGGGACGCGCAGCGCTAGTTCCCAGGAGTGTCTGTGGCCAGGGACAGAACTTTGCTGTCCAGGAAACCGAGGGTGACGGGACAGAGGGAGAGGCGGCCATTCCCAGCACCGCCGATGGAGATGTCACCCCTCCCGCCCGGGATGGGGACACCGAGAGGAGAAGTCAGTAGGGACGTAGACCGTCTGCGTGCCGCTACCAAGCACAGCAGGGCACAGACGACCGGGCAGTGGGCCCCACGGGCCCCAGCGGGCTCTGCGGGCGGGCCGACTCTCGGCTTCACGGGCGGCAGGGGCGGAAGCCGCGCTGTGCAGCGGTGGCAGGGGCGGAAGCCGCGCTGTGCTGCCGCGGCTGCGAGCCTTGCGACAGCGCCGTGAAGCCCTCGCCGCGCGGCGTCGCTCACGTGCTCCTCGCAGCCAATCGTCGCCCTGCCCTGAGCCACCTAGAACTTTCTCTCCTGCGCCCGGGGGCTTCTGGGAGGCGCGGGAGCTGGCGTGGCCGAGCGCAGAGTGCGTGAGCCGGGGCCACACAGCCGCCCTGAGGCGAGCCCGCCAGGCCTTCCAGGGGACCGGGAGCCGCCCGCGGGGCCGGCGCAGGTGAGCCACGTCGGCGGGGGGCTCGCGGGGGAGGGGGTCCGAGGGGAGGGTGAGCGAGCGGGAGCCGGTGAGGGTGGGGGGCAGCCAGCTGGGGTTTGGGCTGAGGGCAGGGCTCCCAGGGGCCTCAGGAGGGGGGGAGGCGGGGGCGGGGGCGGGGGCTAGTGACTCTAGGGGGGGCATGGGAAGCGAGCGCTCCCGGGGCTGCGGCTGGACAGGAGGGCGCCCGGCACGGGGGGGCTGCCGGCTGGGGTGGGGGCGCCAGCGGAGTCCGCCTGGGGTGGGAGGCGTGGGCGAGGCCGGCCATGCGTGCGGGAGTGGTGGGCGGCCATGCTCTGGGCAGCGGTGCGCTCTGGCTCGCTGGGGTGCTGGCTGTGGGGGGAGGGGGTGGCGGGGGCAGGCTGGCAGCCCTGCATGTGTGGGTGGGGGGGGCGGGGGCAGGCTGGCAGCCCTGCATCTGTGGGGTGGGAGGCGGGAGGGCAGAGCTCCCACTGCCAGCACTAGGGGGAGCACTCCGGGCTTGGGGAGCCGGGTGGGCGGGATAACGTCCAAGCACGTGGGGGCGCCCTGCTTCCCAGGGCTGGAGGGGAGCGCTCCCAGCTGGGGGGGAGGGCGCTTTTCGGGTCTGGGGAGGATGCGCCCGGGCATGGGCAGGGGGATGGGCGGGAAGGTGGGGGGCCACTGGCTGAGGAGGGGTGCGGGAGAGGAGGGCCTGGCAGCATGGGTGCAGGTGCCACAGAGAGGGCGAGGCGCCGGGGAGGCAGTGGTCTGCGGGAGGCTGGTGCCCTGGGCGGTGGAGTGGGGGAGGGTCCGGGGAGGGGCTCTGCCCCCGGCAGCGGGTGTCTGAGAAGCTCCAGGTCGCCTCGGTGGAGGGTGGGTGCGCAGAGATTGCCGCGGTGGAGGGCCAGGGCCTTGGCCTCCGCGGAAAGTAGAGGCCCTTCGCAGGGGTCACCGGGGGACGCCATACTTCGGGCCCTAGGAGCGTCTCCCTAAGTTTAAAAGGGTTGCGCTTTGACAGAATAAGTTGCCTGGTCGCCCGGGGATTTTATTTGACGTTAACAACGATTAACACGTCTCTAAAGATTTGCAAACCTGTAGGTGGAAGAAGAAATCAGAGGAAATCAGAGGAACTCAGGAAGCGTTTCAAACCGAGTGATAGAAAATAGAAAAATACAACTTCCCCAAAGTAGTGGGAGGCAGCGCAGGAAGCGATCGATCGCAGGAAGACGGACAGCTCTAAGTGTGCGCCATAGAACAGGAGGAGGACACGGACTCGGGGCCCTGACGTCCCTTGAAGGAAGCTAGAAAGAGAAGAGCAGAGAGAGCCCAACGTGCCCTACGGAAGAGACCAGAGCGCCCGGAGGGGAGGTCAGTGAGAGAGAGCGGGGGAGAGGGAGGGACAGGGCGGGCCCTCCGCGGGCTCTGCTCAGGCAGCCTGGGACTGGGCCAGAGCCCAGCCTAGAGCGACCCCGAACAAAGATAGGACAGGAGTCACCCTGCTGGGAAGGAAGGAAAGAGGGCTGTCACTGCAGGCCAGAGCACGTGGAAGAGAAGGAGGCAGGATCCTGGGGAAATTCATGCCCCAAATTGGAAAATGTGAGAGTCCCTGGGGAACAAGGCGACCCCCCCCCCCAGCCCCGAGGCTAGAGGAGGTAGAAAATGTGGGTAGCCTTCCATCTTGTGAAGCAATGTGGTTTCTTATCGAAGAGGTTTCCTAAGATCCAACGACGAAGCCAGCAGCGAGAGGAGGCGCTCCAGGCCCCAGCGTGAGGGGCCCGGGGCTCTGGCTGGGGCGGTGGGGTGGGCTGTGTGGCACAGACACGCCTCTCTCCCCTTTGCACCCGCAGGCCGAGGCCCACACTGCGAGAGTCCGTGCACGCCCGTCCAGTCCCTTCTGGCCGCCCTCAGGTCCTCAGTGATGGTGATGCCACTGGTGATGCTGCAGGACTGGTGCAGGTGGAGTGGCGCAAACGCACAGCGCTCCCTGCTCATCCTGGGCATCCCGGAGGACTGCGAGGACCGGGAATTCCAGGAGGCCGTGCGGGCTGCCCTGTGGCCCCTGGGCAGGTACCGAGTGCTGGGCAACGTCTTCAGAAAGGAGCTCGGGTTCAGGGTCGCTTTGGTGGAGTTCACTGAGTATTTAAATCGAAGTTTGGTCCCCCGACAGATACCAGGCAAGGGGGGACTCTGGGATGTGTTCTTCCTGCCCCAGGGCCCTGATTCTGAGTCACGGGATAGACCCAATTTCCCTGCACAGCCCCAGAGGCAAGCAGTGGCTGGCAGGGCAGGTGTGGCCAGAGCTGCAGGGGAGGAGGCAGCTGCAGGGGAGGAGGCAGCTGCAGGGGAGGAGGGAGCTGAGGGTGAGGCAGGAGCTGGAGAGGAAGCAGGATCCTCAGATGAAGAGGGAGCTGCCGGGGACACAGGAGTTGCAGGCGTGGTAGCATCTGTGGGCATGGCAGGAGCTGCAGCTGAGCCAGAGGCTCCAGGTGAGGAAGGAGCTGCAGGTGTGTCTGAGGCAGGGGCCCCAGAGGAGGCAGGAACTGCCAGTGAGGCAGTCACTGCAGGCGAGGATGGAGCTGAAGATGTGGCAAGAGCTGTGGGTGAGGAAGAAGCTGAGAGTGAGGAGGAAGCTGAGGGCGAGGCAGGAGCTGGAGAGGAAGCAGAATCCTCAGATGAAGAGGGAGCCGCAGGGGCCACAGGAGTTGCAGGCATGGTCGCATCTGTGAGCATGGCAGGAGCTGCAGGTGAGGCGGGAGCTGCAGGTGAGGAGGAAGTTGGAGATGTGGCAAGAGCTGTGGGTGAGGAAGAAGCCGCAGGTGAGGAGGGAGCTGAGGGTGAGGCAGGAGCTGGAGAGGAAGCAGGAGCATCAGATGAAGAGGGAGCCGCAGGTGACACGGGAGTTGCAGGCGTGGCAGGATCTGTGAGCATGGCAGGAGCTGCAGCTGAGGCGGAGGCTCCAGGTGACGAAGGAGCTGCAGGTGTGGCAAGAGCCATCAACGAGGCAGCAGCCCGGAGCCAGCACTGGCGGCAGACGTTGCAGCCTCTGCTCGATGCTGTGGCCTACTGGGTACCGAGAAGGTTTTCTGGGGTGGAAGAGCCGGGCTGTGGAGAAGAGTCTTTTGAGAGCTGGCTGCACCATGCCAACGACACGCTGTACCTGTGGTGCCTCATGTCAGAGAGGGAGAGGAGGAGGAGACTGGTGGAGAGCTTGGGCGGCCCCGCGCTGGATCTCATGTGCGGCCTCCTGGAGGAAAATCCCGACACCCCTGCGCAGGACTGCCTGGCCGCGCTGGCCTGTGAAGATGCTGCCCGGACCCATGAAGATTGCCTCCCAGCCAATGAGGTCACCACTGAGGGCACCCCTGTCACTGCAGAAGAAAGCAAGCCTTCCCCACCCAAGGAAGATACCACCCTGGCTGCCCTTTCCAAGCAAGACACAGCCGAGGCTGCCCCGGCACGATAAGTGGCCGATGGGGCAGTTCCTGTCACAGTCGACCGTGGAGAGGCTGCTCCTGACCCCCATGATGCTGCCCAGGCCGCCTGGGCTCGTGAAGATGCTGCCCAGGCCGCCCTGACCTGTGAAGACACCGCTGACGCTGCCCCGGCCCGTGAAGAGGCCGATGAGGCAGCTCCTGACACCCATGATGCTGCCGTGGCAGCCCCTGCCCCTGAGGAGACCACCGAGTCCTCTTCTGCCACTGGGGAAGGTGAAAATGTTCCTACTCGTGCGGGGCTAGGTCAGGCAGGACACTCGGGGGCCCCCGGGGGCCCCACCCCTGCTCAAACGGTCAGTGCTTCTGGGGCGGGCCCAGGAGGTCCTGGCAGTAACCCGGAAGGCCTCGCCCAGGTGGGAGACCAGGAGGCCGAGCAGACCCCCAAGGAGGGGCTCATCCAGGAGGAGCCAGGAAACCAGGACGGGGCTGAGGAGATGAGCCGCCCCGAGTCCTCCTCGGGCAAGTAGGCTCAAAAGGCCCAGGGGCCCCCTCTCCTCCCAGGCAGCAGAGCCCTGGAGGCAGGGGGAGGCGAGGCCAGGGTAGCCGCCTCACCCCACATGGGGACCAGGCCGAGGGAGGGGCCCGTCCAGCCCAAACCAAGCCCCTGGCCCCTCACGATCCCCAAGGGGCCATGACCCGCACCGTCAGCCGTTCCAAGTGACCAAGATGAACATATGTTACCCCAAATGGGCAGGGGAGAGGTGTAGCCCCGCTCAAGGCAGCACCACACCGAGCCCAAGCCCCATCCCCATCCCAAGCCCTGCCAACTCAGGCAGCCAGCCTGGTGGCTCCCCCGAGTGGCAACCCCGGCCTGGGTGAGGGGCACCTGAGGACGCCTGCCGCCTGCACGGGCCTGGGAGACGTTAGGAGGTCATCTCAAGGGTGCCAGCTGTCTGGGCCTCCCAACATGGGGACCCCCGTTCACTGTCACCTGGGGCAGGCTCCTCCCTGTTCTGGGAAGCCCGCTTGTATCTCTGTGGACCCTGTAGTTACCCACGTGTCAAGTAATCCACCCCCAAAACATACACACACACGTGCCATCATTTCTGTGCAGAGCCGTTAGGTGTGTGTGAGCCCGGGGTGGGGGTCCTGGCCTAGCAGGCAGCACCCTCTCGGCCCTGGCACGTGCTGTGAGCTTCAGTGCCAGCCCGGGCTCTGCTCTCTCTCGTCCGGTGCCATGAGCTCAACTCTGCCTTCTCGGTGGAGACTTAGGCCAACCGCTGCTTGTTCCTGTGGAGATGTGTGCTTATCTGAGCAGTGGCCCCCACCCCACCGCAGAGTCCCCGAGCCCAGTCCCAGGAGATGCCTGGAAGGATGGACAGACGAGGGCGTGGCCGGCGCTCACCCCGGGACCTCAGGAAGGAAGAACTGGAGCAGGGACATGGAGGGGCTGCGGGAGGCTCCAGTGGGACTGTGCTCTCATGTGCCAACCTGCTGTTACTTGTGGCTCAGTTTCCTGGGCTTGGTGTGGTGTCCCCTGTTGTATTTTCCAGCGTCCTGTGACTGTCCTATGTGGCCCATAGGGCAGGGCCCCACCCCAGAATGTCAGCCAGAGGGGGAGGGGGTGCCGTGGAGTGAGAAGACATTGCCAGTGTCCATCGTTCTGCCAAGAGGCTGACCGTGGGGCTCCCAGGAAGGGAGACTGTGGTGGGAGGGCCTCAGCATGGGGGGCAGCTGAGGCACCCCGTTAGAGACTGACTGTCCCCGAGACCTGTGGGCTGTAGCGGCCGTTAGAAGTTCCTCTCCGTGTTGTCATTCCCTTCTCTGCAATGGTTTCAGTAAGTGGTTCTCTTCAATAAATTTCATTGATCGTTCCAGCTGCGTGTCGTCCGTCTCTGCTGTGGGCAACTGAGGGAAGGGTCTGCTGGGGGTGGGGGTGGGGGCAACAGTGGCCTGTCACCTGCATTGGGGTATGATCAGGACAGGGGCCAGGAGGGGCTGTGTCGTCCCCTGGGCTGGACGGAGCTGAGTGACAGGAACTTGTGGGCGTGGGCAGTGGCTGGTTGGGTCCCCAGGAAACTCGGGGTGTCCCCAGAAATAAGCGGGCTAGACATTGAAGGGAGGGGGAGGAACCACAGGCAGGATCCAGGGCTCCAGGATCCCTGGCACCGCTGTAGGGGCTCAGGGCACCCAGACGGGTCAGAGAGGTCACGTGTGCAATCCCAGAGACCAGCGGGCCACAGAAGGGCCCAGGCCTGAGGTCAGATGCCCCTGCCAGGAGCTGGGCCCAGGACTCTGGGCTGGGGGTGGTTGCCCGCTCAGCCCACTCCTGCCAGCCGACAAGTGGCCAGCCTCTGTCTAGCCACCGAGGGACGTTTGGGGACCTGCCGGTGTTTCATGGCCGAGGGATGGAGGGCGGGCTGGGCGAGGGCTCCACAGCCCTCATGCCCTGGGTCGGGGGAGGAAAGGCAGGGAGAGCCACCCTCCACTCTTGAGTCCTGGGCAGGGCGGCCCCTCGAGGGGCCGGGGCACCGCCTTCCTGTCCCACTCCCCTCCCAGCCAACTCCTAGGGGCACCAGTCCTGTGTCCTGGGAGCAGGCAGGAGGCAGCGGGTGTGAGTGGGAGGCTGCAGGCAGGAGCTGGGGAGTGGCCCCTTCCTGCCCAGAGCAGGTGGACTCTGGGTCCCTGCAGCCCAGTGAGCCCTCGGTGCCACCTGAGGAGGGCACCCACCCAGGATGGAGGATGCTGCTGATCCTTGAGACCCTCTCTCTGCGCGCCGTGGCTGGAGGGGCAGTGCTCAGAGAGGGTGTCGTCAGGTGTCAGGAGCCAGGAGCCATCTGCCTCCACCTGCCTGGGCTCTGCCCTCACCTCAGGGGGCTGGGAGCCCACCACAAATTGAGGGCAGCCGGCCATCAGGCGCCGAGCTGATTCAGAGTCTTCGGGAGACGGAACGAAGGTGCGGAGAGGAGAGGGGACGGATGGTACCGTTGTCCCAGAAATGGTGAGGGGCCCTCGAGGGCCTGCCCAGTCTGTGCCCACTGGCGTCCTCCAGCCATTCTGAAGGGGCAGAGTCTCTGACCACCCCCACAGTACAGAAGAAGAACGCAGTTCCCAAAGCAGGGAGGGCCAGGGCGAGGACCTTGCAGGGAGCTGAGGCCTGGGCTGTGGCCGTCCAACCGGCCTGTGGGAACCGAGCACGTGGGGAGCCCTGAGCTGTGTGGCGAGAGCTGCAGACAGCGGGTCTGCAGGGGACGGGGGGCGGGGGCCCCTGGAGATGCTGGGCGCGCAGGGCAATGGAGAGGGGGCGGCGAGGGCTGTCGGGACGGAGATCATGAGGGCCATGCCTGCAGCCTCTTGGGCCCAGTGGACTTGGCTCCGTGTTATAGGGACACCTGCACGTTGTCCCATCAAGGGGTACTGCAGGATCCGGGGGGCTCCCAGGTGGGCTCTGCTCTCCCTGCCTCCTTCAGGCAAGGCACCATCCCAGGTCGTCTGTCCCCCGTGTCTTGGCAGGGCCATGGCCACTGGCCACTTTCCGCCAGCCCCTCAGGATTTGGGGGCAGGACAAGAGGAGAGGGGATGGGAGGGGCTGATCCCTTGTCTCTCCCTCGTGCAGTGTACCTGTGTGGGCGTGTTCCCCAAGCAGGTGTGAGTGTGCGTGTGAGCGAGTGAGAGTGTGCATTCGTGTCATTGAATGTGTGTGTGAGTGCAAGTGAATGTGTGTGTGAATGAGTGGGAGTGTGCAAGTGTAAGAGCATGTGAGTGTGTCTGAGTGTGAGCGAGTGGGAGTGAGCGTCACTGGACGTGTGTGAGAGGGTGTGCGCGTGCGTGAGGCGGGTGGTGGTGGGTTGGAGTCCTTCCTGGACTGCGTGGGACAGCGGCTTCCCCGCCCAGCCCGTGGAGGGGAGCTGCCGCAGGGCCGGCCCTGGCAGGCTGGCCCAACACGGGCCCTGGGAATCAGCCCTCCTCCTTCTGGGGCTGGCACAGAAGAGAGGGGCCCCTGGAGGCCACCCCTTCCCAGCCTTTCCTCCTCTGCCTGCACCCAGCGAGAGATTTGGAAAGAGACGAGTGCGTACTTGTCTTCCCACCCTCATCCCCCTTTTTCCTTTGCATGTTGAGCGGGTACCCCCTACCCCAGGCCCCTGAGACCTAGCTGCCTGCCAGGCTGCCATGGCCCATGAAGATGCCACCCCACCCTGTGAAGATGCTGCCTAGGCTGCCCCGGCCTGTGAAGATGCTGCCCTGACCCATGAAGATGCCGCTCACGCCACCCCAGCCAATGAGGTCACCACTGAGGGCACCCCCGTCACTACAGGAGATAGCAAGGCCTCCCCCCCGAAGGAAGACATCGCCGAGGCTGTCCACGCCAGTGAAGAGACCGATGGGGCAGTTCCTGTCACAGTTGACCCTGGAGAGGCTGCTCCTGACCCCCATGATGCTGCCCAGGCCGCCTGGGCTCGTGAAGATGCTGCCCAGGCTTCCCTGACCTGTGAAGACACCGCTGACGCTGCCCCAGCCCGTGAAGAGGCCGATGACGCACCTCCTGACACCCGTGATGCTGCCATGGCAGCCCCTGCCCCTGAGGAGACCACCAAGTCCTCCCCTGCCCCTGGGGAACATGAAAATGGTCCTACTGGTGCAGGGCTAGGTCTTGCAGGACCGTCAGAGGCCCCCAGCGGCCCCACCCCTGCCCAAATGGTCAGTGCTTCCAGGGTGGGCCCAGAAGGTCCTGGCTGTGACCCAGAATGCCTCGCTCAGGTGGGAGACCAAGAGGCCCAGCAGACCCCCGAGGAGGGGCTCATCCAGAAGGAGCCGGGAAACGAGGATGGGGCTGAGGAGAGAAGCCGGCCTGAGTCCTCCTGGGGCAAGTAGGCTCAGAAGGCCCAGGGGCCTTCTCTCCTCCCGGGCAGCAGAGCCCTGGAGGCAGGGGGAGGCGAGGCCAGGGCAGCTGCCTCACCCCACATGGGAAGCATGCTGAGGCAGGGGCCTGTCCAGCCCAAACCAAGCCCCTGGCCCCTCACGATCCCCAAGGGGCCCTGACCCTCACCATCAGCCCCTCCAAGTGACCAAGATGACCATATGTTACCCCAAATGGGCAGGGGAGAGGTGTGCCCCCACCCGAGGCGGCACCACAATGAGCCCGAGCCCCAGCCCTGTCCCAAGCCCTGCCAACTCAGGCAGCCAGCCTGGCAGCTCCCCCAAGCGGCAGCCCCGGCCTGGGTGAGGGGTGCCTGAGGACGTCTGCCACGCACATGGGCCTGGGAGACGTTAGGGGTCATGTCAAGGGTGCCAGCTGTCTGGGCCTCCCAACAAGGGGATCCTCATTCACTGTCACCTGGGGCAGGCTTCTCCCTGTTCTGGGAAGCCCACTTGTGTCTCTGTAGACCCTGTAGTGACCCACGTGTCAAGTAATCCACCCCCAAAACACACACACACCCCTCATGATTTCTCTGCAGAGCTGTGAGGTATGTGTGATCCCAGGGTTGGGGTCCTGGCTGAGCGGGCAGGCCCCTCTCGGCCCTGGCACGTGCTGTGAGCTTCAGTGCCAGCCCGGGCTCTGCTCGCTCTCGTCCAGTGTCATGAGCTCAACTCTGCCTTCTCGGTGGAGATTTAGGCCAACCGCTGCTTGTTCCTGTGGAGATGTGTGCTTATCTGAGCAGTGGCCCCCACCCCACCGCAGAGTCCCCGAGCCCAGTCCCAGGAGATGCCTGGAAGGATGGACAGACGAGGGCGTGGCCGGCGCTCACCCCGGGACCTCGGGAAGGAAGAACTGGAGCAGGGACATGGAGGGGCTGCGGGAGGCTCCACTGGGACTGTGCTCTCATGTGCCAGCCTGCTGTTACTTGTGGCTCAGTTTCCTGGGCTTGGTGTGGTGTCCCCTGTTGTATTTTCCAGCGTCCTGTGACTGTCTTGTGTGGCCCATAGGGCAGGGCCCCACCCCAGCCTGTCAGCCAGAGGGGCAGGGGGTGCCCTGGAGTGAGAGGGCATGGCCAGCGTCCATCATCCTGGCAAGAGGCTGAGCATGGGGGCCCCAGGAAGGGAGACTGGTGGGAAGGCTTCAGCATGGGGGAAGCTGAGGCACCTCATTAGGGTCCCCGGGAGGAGGGGGGGCCTGAGACCTGTGGGCTATAGTGGCTGTTAGAGGTCTGCTCTGTGTTGTTATTCCCTTCTCTTCAACGGTTTCAGTAAGTGGTTCTCTTCAATAAATTTCATTGACTGTTTCAGCTGAGAGTCGCCTCTGCTGTGGGCAATTGAGGGAATGGTCTGCTGGGGGTGAAGCAACAGTGGCCCGGTCAACATTGGCATATGTGTGGAGCAGGGTCACTGAGGGCTTTGAGGTATCCTAATTCCACAAGGTGGTCAACATTCAAGGAATAGTGGCTAAATGAACCAGGCAAAGGAATGGAGCTAGTCAGTGGTACTAGTCGATAGAATGCTGTGGGGACAAGCAGTGGCTGCTTGGACTCCCAAGGAGCAGGGAGCTTCCCAGGAATAAGGGAAGGGAAGGAACAGCAGCCGGGAGCTAGAGGCCCCAGCATCCCTCACCATCTTGTTAGGGCTCAGGGCATCGAGACCTTGGGCATCAAAACCCGGCCAGCTTCTCAGTGTATGTGTGAGTGAAAGTATGTATGAGTTTGTGAATGTGTGTCAGTGAGTGTGTGTGAATTGTGAGTGAGTAGGTAAGACTGTGAATGTTTTAGTGAATGTTTACGGGTGTGGGCATTTTTGAGTATGTATTAGTTTGCACATGAGTGTGTGGGGTGTGAATGTGTGGATGTGTTTGTGTATCAGTGGGTGTGTGTGTCATGGAATGTATGTGTGTGTGAATGTGTATGTGAGTGAATGTGTCTAGGGGGTGAGTATGTATGAGTTTTTG